TAGTTTCCTAAATAAGAACATGTGTTAATTTTTGGTTGGGGTATGCTATTGTATTGAGTTGCTCTAGGTCAGAAGCCCTGCCCTAATATCTCTACATTAAATTGTGTCTGAGTTACGAGATCCTCTGTAACCAGCAGCTTTGTACTTTGCCCTGGAACGCAGCACACAGCCTGAGGAGATACATTCATATTATCTTTCTAGGTGGAGCAGGATTTCAAACATGCTGGTATTTGCATTGCATGTTTAACTGAACTGTGATGCAGATTTACACTTGAACAGATTCTTAAGATGTCTAATCTTTTGTCTATTGTTTATTTACCACAGATTCTAATCATGAAATCATAATTTGCTTTTTTCCCCTCATTTTGATGACACGGCACAACTGTCACTTTCCATCACAAGGCTGCATCAGTTTCATTGCTTACAATGTGATCTCTTTATATCTGCTTGTGAAGTGTTTGGAAAGTTTTGGAGCAGTTCTGCCTCTCTAGAAAAGTCCTGTGGCCTCCATGGAAAGGCAGTGAGGGAGCAGGGCTCCTACTCTGTAGAAGTTGGGCTCATTTCATACTCATGAGTCTTTAGGAAGAACTACTTGTTGAGTAAAACATTTCTGTACAGACTTACATAGACCGTTATACTCTCAGCCAATGATAAAGATTGGATACTGCACTTGAAAGTTTTTAAGAGATGCTTATGAACAACATTCCGCAGTTTTTTGTATATAGGTAGAGAATATACTCAAAAATAGAGCATCTAATAGGGCATCTAATACAGTAGCATTAAAAAAATACTTGGTTAGCCACAAAAATATTCACAATACAACCATTTAGCTACCTAGAAAGTAGCTTCTATAAATCAGGAAGCCTCTTCCAGGACACAGGATTGAGGAAATAGTCCTGCTTCAAATGTACAACTCACATGAGACATGATCAATTCATGTGTCTACCAAGAAGTTAGTGTTTACTAATATAAGCTCCTTTCCCTTTCTCTTTCTCACTGTCCCATGCACAGTTATCCAGAAGCTCCTGCCATGTCCTGTGGGAAGCCATTGCCCTCTAGCTTCCAGAAAGATGTATGATACAGATACATTATAGCACCATACTGGTGACAGATTTCCAAAGGAATTATGCTAACACTAAAGAAAGTCCATAGAAAATACGTAATTCTATTTTATCTCAGTAAGGCAAAAGAAGAAATAACAAAGAAGCTGCTTGAAAAATTGTTTTAACCTGAGATCATAAAACAATAAGGTCTCTCCTTTTCAAGTCTCAGCTTTCTACAGCTAAAGCATGGAGGTACATGCACAGTACCGTGCACAGTAGTGTTTTATATCTTGCTTAGCTGGCCATGCATGTTTAAGGGAGTGTTATCTGGAGGCATACATTCCCTTTACATTAACATGAACTCATTGTGGTATAACTGCTAGTGTCATTTTTGCTGAGACCTACGTACTAATCATCTCCCTCCCCAAGCTCACAGAATCACAGTTTGACTAAGGCTGGAAAGCCCTCTGGAGATCATCTAGTCCAACTCCTGCTCAAAGCAGGGTCTCAGGAAAATCTCATTCCCTAGCTATTATACCAATTAATCTTTACAGTATAAAAATTGTATTAACTTTCAAACCTAGGTATAGTTTACATTTTATACTGAATAGCCATGCTTAAGCAAGCAAAAGAGAGGACCCCAGCTCATGGTAATGAGGACAACCTAGTCCCTGAGATAAGTACTTTGCTTCTTGGAAACTTAAAAACTGTCCATGAAGGATAAAAGATACCCCTGGACAACCAAGATAGCGCCAGCATCCTAGCCCTAGCCCTTCTAACATATATTTGAAACCTTTCCACTGTCTGTCTCCATAGATAAGTAACTATAGCAAGACCAACTCCAGGGCCATCTGATCAATAGAGAAGCTGGTGGATGATGACATCATATAAATATAGTTGCTTTGCAAAGTTTTACTATGGTGAGTAAATGGTAGTGTGTGTTTGTTAAGTAGCAATTAGTTAAATCATGTTGCACCTGAACGCTTGCATTGCTTTGAATGGGATACCTCATATGCATGAATAAAATAATTACTCTTGTAATTCTATGCGTTGCATCCCAGATTCTCTCCCTAGATGGCATGGGCCAGTGCAAATTTTAGTTCAACTACAGCAGGTTGCCTGGGACTGCATCCAGTGGGTTTGCAATATCTTCAAGGACAGAGACTCCACAGCTTCTCTGGGCAGCCAGTCACTTCCAGAGTGTGACCACCTTGATACTATAAAAGATTTTTCTTATATTATAAAAATTGATGAGATCCCTCTGAGGCACCTCTTCTTCAGGTTGAACAGTCTCAGCTTTCTCAACTCACCGTTGCATGGCAGATGATCATTGTTGTGAGTCTTCTCTGGATTTGCTCTGGTGTGTCCATGTCTTGTACTGGGGAGCCCAGCCCTGGACCCAGCACTCCAGATGTGTTTCACCAGTACTGAGTAGAAGGGAAGGGTCACCTCCCTCACCCTGCTGGCAATGCTTCTCCTAATGCTGCCCAGGTCACTGTTGGTCTTCTTGATCTCCCTATAGTCTTAATAGGACTGTGGAATATAGCCTGTTGCTCCGTAAGAAGGGGTTAATATTTCAAAGCCATAACAAAGTGTAAGATGGAGCATTCCCATATGAGCAGTGGTGACAGCCCATATTCTTCAGTATTCTTATGAATTGCCTTTAAGTTACGTAGTAAGAAAAGATCAAGTACTACACACCACCTTGTGACTTGGTACAAGTGCTTGAAGATGGTCTGACTGCTGTTGCTGTTCCTACACTTCAAACTTCCAGAGTTATGGCTTATGTTCCCCACCTTTGATCTCAAGTCCACAGGCTCACTTCATCAAAGCCATTCTTGACCCTTATCAGTGGGTAAATGAAATGGCAAAAGCCTCCACCAAAAGGACTGGGGGAAAAACATGGCAAGACTTTTTTAAAATCTCCCCCCACCCCATTTCAAGCTTTGAACATACTGCTTTCTCATTATACCCAACTCATATTTGAACAGCCCAATGTATACATCATCTAGTTCACTGGATAAACCTTCCACTGGTTTGGTAAAACTTGGAAAAGATTTTACATTAATAAATAAAAACTTATCAATCTCTTTTGAATGTTGTAGTTCCAGGGAGAAAAGAGCAAGAATACAAGATGAAAAGGTTGCCTTTTTCATCCATTAAAATTACAAGACATTTCAGAATTTGTTTTTTCCCCATAGTTTATTGTTTTTATACCTTCACCAAAAGTATTTCTCCATGAAAAGTAGCTCAATGCACTGTGCAGATTTTGGAAGAACAGTAAAGAATGAGTACAGTTTGAATAGGAGTTTAAACCACCAATAGATGTTTAGCTAACAGCTAGTAATACACAAGATGCAGTGAAAGAAAAATAGATGAGAACAATATAATATCAGCAGAAGGCAACTTGCCTGTGTTTGCTTTCTGTCCCTTGCAATAACATAATTCTATTTGCAGAGCTGGTTTTACTGCCATAGCTAGTAGAATTATTTAACCCAGACAATGAATTTTTCTTCTTTCTATAATAAAATAAATTTCCCTACCAGTTGAGTTTATCTCTGTAAATTTTGGTTGTAAGTGAAGAATGAGAATGTGGAAGTGGAAAGTGAGAATGTGGCAACCATGACCTGCATGCAGAGCCCCCAGGGAACAATTTACTTGCAACAGGCAGATTTTTGTTTCTTATCTACCAGCCTAATGCTACGTGTCCTTTCCAATGAAAATGCATACCCATAAATGGAACACAGAACTATTAGGCATTACGTGATGCATAAACAAAATTATTTTATTAAAATTACAGGTATTTTTACAGGTATTTTGCAGAAGTTTGACAGACTGTTAGGGTGGACTTTTGTCTTGGATTGCTGAGGTCATCTCACATTATTGACAAATGGCTTAATCCAAAACAGCTTGCTGATCCATTATCAAGACACATACACAGATTCTGAATGGTCTCGAGAAATCTGTATGCTCATTTCAGAGCACTCCATCAAGAAAAGAAAAAGAAGTGGAAAATCAGACTTTGCATATCCCAAAGGGCTGTCTCAATGTGAAACACACAGATGAAGTCAGCTTTAAATGAACGATGGGGGAATTTGTGGGGAACCCCCTGAGTTCCTAAGTAAGTCCTTGGGGACAACTTCAGTACTTTAGAATTTTGCCCAAATGTTTATACTTACAGCCTCTGCCTGATGCCTTCATGTCAGAGGGTTATTTCTTAGGGAGCAAATCTGGTGACTACATTCTTTTAGATTACATCAGTACTTCTTGCATATTTGGGCTGCATCAGCTGCGTCTGTGAAATGCCAAATCCTATTTTCCTCACATGCAATGGTGAAGATATCCTTTTCCCCTTTTTTCAGCATCACAAGATCAGAATATTCACTGAAAACTGTGTTATTTTTCCTTGTGTTTTAAAGATGGAGACAGGAAGAATGTTTACTAAATGCATATTAGGGAGGTACTTTAAATGAGTGGAAATAATTTTTCATAAGCAAGAGTGCTTTAAATAATCCCATTCAGCCTGTCTTAAAGGATGGAGACACTGTACGCTTTCTCATTACTCACACTAATGACTTCCCACACAATTAGTTGTTACTGAAGTATCCTTTTTTTTTCCTGCAGATTAATTCAGTTCATAATTCCCCTTTTCCCTGGCTGCAGCCAACTGACACCATCTAATAGCTGACTCTGAGGAAATAATAGTCAATTTTTCTGCAGGATTCAGATGCCTGCTAACAGAAGCTTCTGGAAGAGTATTCGTCTATTTGTGAAGGTACTTGTAGCACGCTGTTTAAACAGAGTAAGATCAGTTTCACTTGCACTGGAGAATTACAATTTTAATATACAAATAACCTGAACATTCTGCAGTTTTAAGAAATAACTTGAATATTACTTGCTCTCCTAGTCAATGAGAAACATGCTCTTCAGCAGAAAATAGAAAAACAGTGAAAATGGAAAGGAAACAGAATTTAATGAGAACACATTATTTTGAATAATATACATATGTACATTTTTAAATTCTAACTGCCTGACAGATCAGCTTCTATGTTTGTAAATTAAAATACGGTGTCACATTAAATGAGTTAAAAGACTATTTTAAAACTCAAATGTATTTTGCAATCTGTCATATTGCATTTATTACTTTTCATGGTAGTATTCTTGTAAAAGTCAACACCAATGAAAAACTCTCATATGCAATTTTTGCCATTTTTTTGATAAACAAGTGAGGATGGCATCTTGGGTCTGATTTCTTTTTGCGCCTCTACTGATCATTTTACTAAAATATATAGGTTTTATACTGCATTTTTAAAGCTGTCTCTTTGTCTTCTGTTCACCAATAAGGAAAAGAAATTAATGAAAAATACGTGTATTTTTCAGGGAATTATTACTTTAAAAAAGAAAAAAATTAAGAAATGGACAGTTTGGAACACCCCAAGGAAAGGGACTGTCAGTCTGAAGAAAAATTGCTATTTCAAGCAAAGGTGGCAAAAGCCTTTGCCATTCTTGGAGTTGTTGGCATTTCCTTTCAGTATGTTATAAAGAAAAAGAAGTACTTGCAGATGCTTTGATTTCCTGTTCCCATGTCTTCATATACATCTAGGAAAGAACATATATATAGATATATATAACAGTTGTCCACAATGTTGGCTTTCTTTTCTTTAAAAAAACCCCACTGTTGTAAACATGTAAACAAACCAGCAGTTCTAATTACAGAAGTAAAACAGTTCTTCAGCCTGCTCTTGGGGCACATTTGCAACCCATTGACTGAATTTTCAGTATGCATAATATGTCTAATATTTAAAAGACAAGACAGATTTGAAACATAGATAATATAATTGCTAATATGGCACCCTGCATTGCTGCTCTTTCAGTACAGATATTTCAAGCTGCTCATGCATTACTAACAATAATGTATCGGAGCACTTGCTAAAGGGTGGTGGTAATGGTGGGCTGAGTCAGTGCAGTCCACAGTACAAACCCTGTGCTGAAATGCCTGGTAAGACTTTGCATCCTCACTGCTCTTCAGCAGCTGGCAGAGCAGAAATCTGTGAAATGATTAATGCTTGATCTGAGAGAAACACTGTGGATCAGAGGAGAGGGAGATGATGTAAAATTATCTTCATTTGGAGTGAAAATGAAAACCAAGTTACAAAGAGTTTCTGTTATCAGAACAGTTGAGGGCTGTCAGTGTTTATCTGTAAAAGCTGGCTAAACCTCTAGCTCATTAGCATTTACAGCCACTTTCATATTTCTTTCATATGTGGAAGAGCCTGTTGTCCTGTTTGTCACACAATTTATATTTTGTTTAAAAAAATGTGCAAAAAATGTCATAAAAACCCCAAACCAACATGGTTTAAAAGAGTCTTAATGAATACTTGAGTATGTGACAGTCCTGTAACTCCCACTGACTGTGGAGAGATGGAGCAGAACAGTTTCCTCAAAACCTGACTTTGAGTTTTCCATTTGATTCTTTTGAGGAGCAGAGGAGGTGAATCTGCAAAAGACTGTTGTGAACAGCAACTAATGTGAACACATGAATATAAAACTTTGCACAGCCAGCTATCATCTCACCTCATGTTTCAACTGCAATTAGGTTATGAGTCCAGCAGTCCAAACCCAAGAGTTGAAGAGTTTAATTATTTTTGAGCAGTATTTTTACCTTTTAAGAGCTGATGTGCATTTAAAATTTTGTAACCGTTTAGAGTGTCAAAGGCATAAGTGCATGTGTGGATAAAAGGATAAAAATGCTGATAAAAGCACAAAGAAAAGTGGAAGGGAAAAGCTATTCCCAGGTGTTAGGCATTGGCTAGTCTGTGAATGTCCTTGTACTCTCATTGGGATTTCTAAGAGCAAGAGAGAGAACACCAGCTAATGCTGGTGAAGTTACACTCAAGAGAGGATCTGAAGGATTTTCAGACTGCAAATCTGAGAATGAAACATTGCTTTTGACTTTTCTTTGCACATTTATTTTAATAAATTTATGAAATTACAGCAGTTCCAGTCAGAAGCACTGGGAATAAGAGCAAAACGATCAGTTTACTAATAAACCTGTTTGGCTCCCATAGCTGTTCTTTTTGTTTTGTACAAAGAACCATAAGCAGAGCGCAAGCAAGTTTTGTACCATTTTTCTCATGAATATTGCTGATTATTGTACAGATGGCTGCCTACCAAGTCTGTGGGATTCATCCATAAGCAATCATTACTTTGCACTACAGGAGTTTGCAATTACTTTCCCAGCTTTATTCCCTATTCTGTGCTGTTTTGTTTTTCCCTTATACTGAATGCTGAAGCATCCTGCTGTAAGCACAAGTGTTCACTGTTGTCCTTATTTATTTATCACTCAGAGTGTTCCTTCTCAGCAGGTCAGGAATTGGAAAATTCATGAATGTGGTCTTTCTAATCTGAGTAGTTTACCCAGTATCAAGCTTAGCAGATTTTGTGTTATTAGTGAAAATTTTGTTCCTATGTTTCTTTTTTAAAATATGAAATATGAAAAGAGCAGCAAAATGGGTTTATGCAAATTAGTTCTTTACAACTACAGAATATGCTTTGCGAAGTTTGAGTTGAAATCTGAACTGTCACAAAGTTGAAGTTACCTTTTTGTTGCATTTATTCCTTTTTTCAGAGGGGTCATGTGTCAGTGAGAGAATTGAGAAGGAAGACATGTAGGAGGGAAGAATAAAAAAATATGTATTTTATGAATGCTATTTTGTACATCTGGCTTTAAAAATCATCTTAGGGTTCAAAGTGAAAAATGCCAAGCAGAACAAAAGCATAATTAGTAATTCATTGTTGCTTTCTCACAACTTGTTTTTACAACCATGGCTGTATGTTTGCATATGTAATTTGGACACACAGTTGAAGATAAAACCACCACAAAATTTTTTGTACTGTAAGTACAGAATGCTAATGCAGTCACATAAGCATTGTGATTACTAAGCCAACTGATTAGTATATGGGTAAGAGTGTGTATTTTTATTTTCAACCAAAAAAGAAATAGAACACATCATAAAAACATGGACAATGTGATATAACAGGTTTGTTACCAAATAAAGTCTTGTGTGCTGTTCTTAATTTGTAGGAAAGACTTTCAATATTCACAAAAGATTTATGGCAGCTATATTGTAATTCTGCAATTACAGAAACTTTACGCTGTATCCACTCTTCTTATGCCAAGAAGTGCTACACAGTAGGTGACTTGAACAAAACCAGGTCTACCACACGCTAACCACATAAGAACAACATGCTGTGGCCTTCCTGGTATTTAACGCAGCAAAAGTGTTTCTGTGGAGTTCCCAGACAAGGTACTGCAGAACAAAATTCTTTTGCTCTAAAGACACTGCTTACTCAAGCAACTAAGCATTGTTCATTAATATTTCAGTGGCTATTTTAATAACCATTGATCAGCTGACCAGTTTCAACATTGCAAAAAAGCCCACCCTAACTCTACTTGACACATGGCTGGTAGGTCTGGAAGCTGTGCTGTCAATTAAATTGCTTTGATTGAATATTTAACTTGCTCAGTAGGAAGTGTTGATGTCCCACTGCTGTGAAGCTATAGCTACCACCTTAAATTATGAAGGAATTTTCATCTGAAATAGTGTTTGAAGATCTTACCTTTTTTTTCACACTTACACAAAACTGGCATGATGAAACAACAGACTGGTGTCTTCAGGAAAAGTGAGGAATTGAATAGGAAATGGTGGAGGAACTAGTGTAGCTTTTACCTGTTTTCCTTCCTTACCCCTCTCAATGGAAACAAATAACAGCTACCAAAATTAAATTGTTCCAGATGCTGAAGTTTTTGCCTTTGAGCTACCACATGAGTGAACGCAGCCTTTAACTTACTGTTGGTGGTCTTGTTGCGGCTGGTCAGGAACATGCTGAATAACTTCATAAACCGTATTAAGCATATCCTGGCCTGGGACAAAGTCAGAGCCAGGAACAGATTGACTTGAAACCTAAAAGTAGCAAAGTGTATTCCTACTGTAAGTAAAAATAGGAAAAGATTTAACAGAAATTAGACTGATAATGTAACTTGTCTTTTTTTTAACTTTTCATCAATGTTTTGTGTGCCTTGAACAGGTCATGTCTATTAGTTTACATTTTATTTTGGGTAAGTATTCATCACATTTACAATAAGGCAAGTAATAGTTTTAAATTCAGTTAGCACCTTAGAAGATTTAGGATGTAACTTCTGCATTTAATATAGCAAGTACTTTATATTAACATACTGCAAGTCAAGAAAGGAACATTCAATAAAGAGAGAAGCAGAAGAGCAGACAGTAAAAAAGGAGAACATATTCAGGGTATGGGTTCAGCATAAAACTCCCACTAGCATGTCAAAGACAGAGAAGTGCAAAGAATTTCCATAAATGAAGTAATAATGAAATTGTTCAATATCTTAAGTACATTAATCTGATCTTATGTCAACACAACAGACATACCTAGACTCCCCATCCATAAGAAATTCCCAGTCCTTCTGCCTATACCCTACCTCCAGTTCTTCATTATCTCCACTTTCTTATTTTCCCTTTCTCTACTAACCAAAATCATAGAATCATAGAATCATAAAATCAGCTGAGTTGGAAGGGACCTCTGAGATCACCAAGTCCAACCCGTGATCCAACACTGCTGTGGTTACTAGACCATGGCACTAAGTGCCACATCCAGTCTCATCTGAAAAATCTCCAGGGACAGTGAATCCACCACTTCCCTGGGCAGCCCATTCTAATGCCGGATTACCCTCTCTGTAAAGAATTTCTTCCTAATATCCAACCTAAACCTCCCCTGGCACAGCTTAAGATCATGCCCTCTTGTCTTACTGATAGCTGCCTGGGAGAAGAGACCAACCCCCATGTGGCTACAACCTCCTTTCAGGGAGTTGTAGAGAGTGATGAGGTCTCCCCTGAGCCTCCTCTTCTCCAGGCTGAACAACCCCAGCTCCCTCAGCCTCTCCTCATAGGATTTTTGCTGGAGTCCCTTCACCAGCCTTGTTGCTCTTCTCTGGACCTGCTCCAGCACCTCAATATCCTTGCTGAACTGAGGGGCCCAGAACTGGACACAGTACTCCAGGTGTGGCCTCACCACTGTTGAGTACAGGGGAAGAATCACTTCCCTGGTCCTGCTGGCCACACTGTTCCTGATACAGGCCAGGATGCCACTGGCCTTTTTGGCCACCTGGGCACACTGCAGGCTCATGTTCAGCTTCCTGTCAATCCAAACTCCCAGGTCCCTTTTCTGCCTGGCTGCTCTCCAGCCACTCTGTGCCCAGCCTGTATGGGGTTGCTGTGGCCAAAGTGCAGGACCTGGCACTTGGTCTTATTGAACCTCATCCCGTTGGAATCGGTCCAACTCTCCAGCCTGTCCAGGTCCCTCTTCAGAGCTCTCCTGCCTTCCAGCTGATCAACACTCCCCCCCAGCTCAGTGTCATCTGCAAATTTGCTAATGATGGACTCAATCCCCTCATCTAAATCATCGATAAAGATATTAAATAGAACTGAGTCCAACACTGACTGGGGACACCACTAGTGACCAGCTGCCAACTGGATGCAGCACCATTCCCCACCACTCTCTGGGCCCGGCCCACCAGCCAGTTCCTAACCCAGCAGAGTGCCCCTGTCCAAGCCATGGGCTGCCAGTTTTTTCAGAAGAATGCTGTGGGAGATGGTGTCAAAGGCTTTGCTGAAGGCCAGGTAGACAACATCCACAGCCTTCCCCTTACCCATCAGGCGGGTCACCTGATCATAAAAGGAGATCAGGTTGGTCAGACAGGACCTGCCCTTTGTAAACCCCTGCTGGCTGGGTCTGATCCCTTGTCCATCCTGTAGGTGCTGTGTGATTGCACTGAGAATGATCTGCTCCATAACCTTGCCAGGCACTGAGGTCAGGCTGACAGTGGATCAAATCAGTGAATGAGTGGATCAAATGCCGACTTTATCTGCAATACTACAAATCTGAGTAACTGAACATAAACCAGAGGAGTTTCTCCTTGAAATTTTACTGAAAATTATTATAGATTTCTTTGCTTGTACATCCATTCTGTTGTCCTTGTCACTAGTCTCTCCTTTCTGACCTACCAAGGCCCCGATTCTTGCAGAATTGTGATATGATCAGCCTAAGGGATATAGAATCATAGAAGGTTTGGGTTGGAAGGGACCTTAAAGATCATCTACTTGCAACCCCTCTCCTCCCGTGGACAGGGACATCTTTCACTAAACCAGGTTGCTCAAAGTCCAGTCTGACTTTGAACACTTCCAGTTATGGGACATTCACAACTGAGACAACCTGTTCCAATGCCTCACCACCCTCACAGTAAATAATTTATTCCTAATACATAATCTAAATATACCCTCTTCAGTATAATATCACAGTGTATTGAAGGCTGTAATCATTTAGGGCCTGATCTCTAAATTAATAAGCCTCTCATTGTCACAAACTGTCACAGATACAGTTCAGTTCCTCTGTTTTCTAAGAGCCTTTTATCTCTGCTGTTGTGAAAGTCTGTCCTCTCCACTAACATTTATGACAGCACTCTAGCCCTATAAACGTATATTTCAATCATCCAACTCCATCAGAGAATTTATTAGTCTATGACTGGTTTTTTTCTAATACATCATGTATTGTGAGTAATAATCATAATAACAAAATAGGTGTGACAATGTGACCCTGTAACCATGCTTTAGGAGCTCTCCCTTACCTGAACATATTGATACTCTCAAAAGGCACAACACTCTATTGCCAGAAATTTTCTCTAGCATGAGAAAGTCGCTCTTCTGCTTCCTCCCAATTTCACTCTGTTATCCCTAAATTTTGTGGCCTTGTTTCTGATTTTTTCTTGGTCCTTTAACACAACATTCAGAATCATCTCCAACTACTATACAGTAATCTCGGCAAAGATGCAATGCAAAGGATTTTTTTCTGCTAGCAAAATTCCTTTGCTTGTCCTGCCCTACAATACATGAAGCTAAACAAATACTTTTTAGTGAAATACCGCTGAGATTTGGCTTACATATTTTTTTACAATGAAAATTTTAAATACCTCCCTGAAACTCTTCTGCACTGACAGAGTTGAATTTTGCATGAGCAGCAATATTAGGGTCAAGGGACAAAATGGCATCAGAATAGTTACTTGTGTGACACAAGTGGTTCAGTGTTACCCATCTACCCAACACTACTAATATTCTTTTAATATAGGGTAGTTGAATGGAGATTCCTGTCTTTAGTGCTTGGTTATTCCTTACTGCACCACGTTGATACAAAGTACTGAACTAGTAATGCAGTAAAGAAAGAGTAAATACTGGGTAAACAATAGCCAGGAATATAGTGTCATGTAAACATCTGTAAAAAGCAACAAGGAGCAAACCTACAGAAGGATTCTAGTACAGATATTTAGCACACCTTAAGAAATAGATGAGGAACCATCTGCTTATGATACAAAATCACATACCCTAGAACCACTGGCAAGATCAGGAAAAGCGACAAACTCATATATCCCAAAATCATCTGAAGCACTTTCATGTCCTAAAGTTAGAACAGACAAACACGAAAAAAAAAGGATCAAGATGTAATATGAACCTGGAAAATAATGGCTGGCAAAGTATTTTGGCCTAATTTTTAAAACATCTGAATACTGTTTATGTGATCTGATTTAAACTACTTCCCTGCCAAGCTCCTAAACTGGTGTAGAGTGAGGCAGGGCAGTTGCACAGCCGGTGTGCACAGTGCTTGGTGATCTCCAACATCCTGGACCAAGTGAGGAGCATCTTGCTAACCTTAGTTTTGGTAGAGCCATTGGTACTGTCTTTGCTGGAAGAATGAAATTTACTTTCATTTCCCATAGAAAAGAGGCCCAATCCATAAACTCTGCACATCTACACTGTAGTGAGGCAGTACCACCTGAATCTTTTACAATGCTGACAATAATAAAAGGAAACATGATACTAATAGGTGTCAAATTATTATTTGGGATGTCAGGTACAGCTTGTATTTAGGTGTAGTTAACAGCTGGTACTTAGGCGTAGTTACTCTCTTTCTCTACCCTCCCACTGTCCAGGACATTGGAGACTCTCAGCTGTCTCATGGGCATCACTCCACAGCAAAGACTGCAGCACCAACAACAGTGCTGAGATCCTGTCCTCTGATATCACTTGTTTGGGTCAGAGCAGTCTGCTCTGACACTCTGGTAGAAAGGGATGGGAATAAAAGTGCTACCCTTACAAAGGATGGCTGGTCTCCACCATATCCTACCCAGGATCATGTGGGAAGGATTGTGGAGGGAAAAGAGAAAGTGAAAAAAACCACTCTGGGTCCTGATGACAGAGAGAAAGGTAGTACAGAATATGGCAGAAGGTTAAATATATACACTGTAATATCATATTATTATCTCATGATTTTGTAACAATTGGTGCCATGAACATCTGTAATTGTGATCCTCCCATGGTGTATCCCCTCTTACTGCTATCCCAGAATGACATTAATTTATGTGATATGGTGAGAGCAGTGCGATACAGATGACTCTAACCTCAAAATACTGGGATCAACAGCTAGAATTCAAACCAACAGGGTACATACTGCTGTGAACTCCAGGCATGAGCTAAATCTATGCTGACTTGTCATTTTGGTCCTAAGCTAACATAGAGGTGTGCAACTCAAGTTAAAAACACACTTCCCTTCCTTGTCTTCTTTCTTTTTTATGTGGAGATTTTTTTTTTCAGGAAAGGATTTTGACCTTATGCTCATATTTCTTTTATTAGCATTACCTGAAAATGCCTGTGCCTTTCTGTAATCAGCCTCTGGCCTAGAAAACATAAACATGTTTCTCAGTTTGACGTCACAAGCCAAGGAAAGAAAATTAATATGATAACATACAATTCTATTGATGGAAAGGACTTCAAGACCTAAGAATGATTTATTTTTGTACCTGCTTTGCAGCTTCTGTTGTATCACTGAAAAGAAGAAGAAAAAAAAATTATTCCTTTTGCTCTGACGATTCAAAAGAACAACTGGACTGTGTCTAACATTTACATACCTTTATGTGGCTGATATCTTTTCCATAGGAATAAAAAAGTCATAGCTAGGATCAAAAACAATGAAATTCCTGTTATTACTGCAAGTGAAGATAAAGATTTTCCCTTCTGGGCCAGCTTTTCCAACCCTGTGACAAAGAAGATGAATACTGTATTTAGTTTCTTGTTCTCTACAATGTGCTACAACGACACTGAAAAATACATCTTTTGAAATTAATTTGAAGCTAGTAAAGCTGCATAGAGATACAAAACAGGTACAAAATTTGGGTTCTTGTGAATTGGTAATATTTACTTTTCCCCACAAATCTTCAACTAAGAAAGCAATGATATGCATATCAAAAACAAGTCCAGAAGAAGGTTGGTACCTAGAGCTAAATGAAGGTTAGTTAATATAATCCACAAATCACAGCATCACAAAAAGTAGGATTGTATTCTAACTTAAGCCATAGAGACACTGAACTACCAAGAAACTGGGTGACAAGTGAGCAGGTTGTGTTAGATGGGAGGGAAATCCTCTAAGTGGTAGGAGCTGTAGAGTAGGAGGGGATAAAAGAACCATTATACTTTTTATCAAGATTTTCAGATCACTGACGGTCTGGTTGTTTATCAAACGCCATCAAAACCCAATAAATTATGTTTGTTTGAATTCATGTCTAAATATATTTAAAATATTTCTTTCCCTTGCAGTTCGCCAGCAGGATTTACTGATACAACACAAATACAAATTGCCTAAAATTACATATTCAAAAGGACGTGGAAAACATTTGTAGTGAATTTTGGAAAGACAGGAACGTGATAGTTAGGAAGTGCCAGACATAGTTGCTTGTGCACCCTTAATCTTCTCCTTCGCTCTGAACTGTGCAGAATTCTCATAATTGATGGCCATGTCACAATCCGTATATGTAAATTAATGGTGCATATTTGTCAGTGCCAGTTTTATAAATACAATTCAAATGTGTATTATTTAGCTGGATGTATTTCCTGTACTTGAACTCCTGTGCAGAGAGCTATTGAGTTGCTTACATCTACTTACATCTCCATTGTACACTGGCATCGTGTTGGCTGCATGTGCAGTGGTTATCATGAAGATTAAATATGAGCATTTAGAACTAGATGTGTCCTGAAGATAAGGGAAAATAAATCACTCTAATTTCACCAAATTTTTTCATAGTCCTTCAATGTACTGCTTTCCTTAGGGGAAAAAAAGGCCAAATGCTGGAAAATCAGATGAGTTCTTAAAACTGTCCTTTAAAATTAATTATTGCAAATTTAGATTCAGTAATCATACCAGTGCAGAAAACAAAGACATGCTCTGCATGCATTTAACATACACAAGTTGACTCAACTTGAGAACTGAGCAATGGCTGGTGTACATAATGAGATACCTCCTCTTATTTTGAAATCTGGCTAAAACTGGGTAAAAAGCTTAGTGCAGCTGTTGATATAATTGTAACTTATTGATACAATTATTTAACAGTGCTTGATGCTTTTTTTTTTTGATGCTTGATCATCTGTAGTATTAATTAGGCAGCTGTTTATAGCACCATATAGGTGAGTTTCTATCCTTTAGTTGGGAAGTTGTGTAAAGTCTTCTGAAACATCAGACTTTCTGTTGCTGCTGAAAATGGGGTTTCTGATATTTTGAAAGGCATAGTCCAGGCTCCATATCTAGGATTATGGGGATAGGGAAAAGGAATATGGAGCAACTTTCATAGTCTTTGCTTGGTATATTTATTCAGTTACAATCAGAATTTAGCCTGAGCAGCATCTCTGAGATTTAGCCTTGAGTGTGAATTCATACCTCTCGGAATCAGTCAGTGCTGCATTGCAAAGTGTGGGCTTGACATCTGGATTTAGTGCTATCTGGATACTCATCAAAAAGCACATGGTTACAGAGGGGGAAAATAGCCTTTTTACATTTTTAAATACACAGGATAAAATGTTTTAATAATACGTATTTAAGTAAAATATTTGTAATTAGGAAATCTATTATTTCAAGTGCAACTTACCATGAAGCTGTGGAGTTTTCCCTTCTTTTGGCCCTTTGAAAGGAAATCTCAGCTACACTTCTTAACAGATATTGATGAATATTCACATATATATCATAGCTTACACGAACTTCCTGGAGAAATGTCATGTTTATTTCTATTGACACAGCTCTTATTGCATTTGCTTTCACCACTAATCACAAAGTTTAGTTTTCAAGTGCAGTATTTTCATTGTAAAATCGCAATGCATCTTCCTTCCAGCATACTGAAAGCCATGGATTTGTGATGAATCAATAAATCATCCTGAATGATGGACATCTGCTCTCCTTGTTTATCTGACTAACAAATGGCTGAGCTCTTTGTTCTGCACAAGTGAAATTGCTTTGTTAAATTTTCTAAAGGCAATCTATTCTATCTTGTTGAACATTAATAACATGCACTCCTTTATCTGAAAATACTTGTATCCATCTGTACTAATAAGAGATATCACACTTCCTCAATATCTTGTTCTTCCCTGTATGCTTCTGGAGATTTTCTGAAAAACTGCTTTGTTGCTCTTTAACAAAGAGCTGATAGAGGAGCTGAGGTTATAGTGTAGGAGAACAGAACCTAGCAGTCAATCCAGAAATTCACAAAAATGACAGTGAAATAATTTTTATGAACATAGTAATAAAACCCCACAAAACTTCAGTCTTAGTGGGCCTTATTCGAAGTTGTGTCACACGGTGAGTAAATCTTGTATCGCAAACCTTGAATGGCCAAAAGCCCCTTTACTGCATTGTTAGCCAGACCTCAATTCTGATACATACTCTAAGAATTACCCCTTTCTATGCGGCTGAGACTCCAATCAGATATTACAGTTACAGCAATGACATTAATTTCTTACCTACAGAAGTAACCACGACTGTGAAGTGAGTTTCATCGCGTCTTCCGGTCATGTTGTTGAAAGCACGGCACATGTAATCTATTGTCTTCTGGGCCACTTTATCAGATACAACTTCCAGATGGGGTCCATATTTGATTACATGAGTGGTATTGTCATCCCTTCGAATCCACGAATAAGTATTTGGTGGATTTGAATCTGCTGAACAGTCAAACAGTATAACTTCTCCCATGTCAACTGTAAACACTGCCCCTATATTCAGACCTTTATCTGACTTAACTCTAAGACCATAAGGTCCATCTGCATTGAAAAAAAGAAAAGGAAAACACAGTGAGAAAATGAAAATCAAAGTATATAATTAAACTTTAAACGAGAGCATATCTCTAAACTTAAAATTTTTAAGTTAGACTAGCCTTACCTAGAATCCATTCTAAAGGCTAGTCTAGCTTTCAGTTCAATAACTGGATCTGTACTAGGTTTAGCTCAAACTACATCCACTTGATATTGGTTTATTTGCTGTTTAAGGAAAAGGCACAGGTCTATGCATTGATCAGCATGATAAAAAGAATGAAAACTGAAATCAGTTGGAAAAGCTATGAAGTAAAGGAGTATATCTTCTTCAGGGGCATATTTGATTTCTACTTCAATGCCAAATTTACTGATCTTTTTTCAAGAGTAAGTCCTTATGTTGAAAGAAGACTGTGTTTCTGAATATGATTAGAAAAGGCATATATTGTCCAATAGTCATGTGTTCATTACTCAAAAAATTGAGCAGCTAGGTATTTCTAGGATAATCTTCATAGGAAAATGAGAAGGGAAACAATATATTTAAATATATAGGAATATTTCCCATGTTATTAGATCATTTCAGATAATGGGGTCTTTATATCTTTATATGTTAAAATGATTTTCAAGTTTTGAAAGTATAGAAATTAATGTAGAGAATATAATACTCAAAATGGGCCTTATTAAATAATTTTTTTCAGTTAAAAAAAACACCCTAATAATTTTATTGTTGTTAATTCCCTAAGGACTTATGTGAATGATCAAAAATGCACAGACTTAATATTGACAGAGCCAAAAGAAGAAAACATGAAGAATATCTTTTTCGTAGGATCCCTGAAGTTCAGTAAAGCTGCTGACAAGTGCCTCACACAGAATAGCATAGCAAAAAATGGGGACAGTACTGCGTCCATTGTAGACAATGCAATCAAATAATATTTACACCTTCCTATGGTTGTCTGGAAGAATTAAGATAGTGTAGCTGGGTTTGAATGTGAAATTCCCTGCGGCATGAAGCTGCACACTGGTACATTTCAGACTCTCCTTCTCACCAGGAAACTCAGGCTGATGTTAGAGCTTCCTCTAACGTACACTTCTATTTACCATCTGCCTTTTTTTATGACTCATTTATTCCTTAAGAACACACAGGTCACCTGCAGCGCAAAACAGGCTGTTTTTTGGTACACCTCTGTTTTTTCTGCTTGTGAAGACTTAGACAAGAGAATGTCTACCACATGTGACTTCAGTTTAGTCCACTTTTAACCAAATGTCCACATTACACAACATATACTTGTCAAGCTTTTTATTTTCTGTATTTATTTCCTAGTGGCAAGCTTTTTGCAGCCTCATTTTAAGGAATGGCCAACATCATGCAAAATATTTACTCGGGAAATAAAATACAGACTCACTTTAGCATGAATTAGTGCTGCTCCCAACTAGATTGCAGGGGCCACTTTGAAAAATAAAGGCATTTTTTTAAACTCTAGATGCTGGGCTGCTTCTTCTCTGCAATTCCTGAGTCACTTGCTTTATTGTCTCCAAGGGCCAGCTAACCCTGTAATGAGCACTTCTCTGAAGCACAGACCTATCCCAGAACAACAGCCTCTTTCAGGGGCTCACCTCTTACAGGTATTTACTTCCCCCCTTTTTCAGATGGGAAAGGATAAAGGACGTACTGATCTTTTTCATAAATGAAAGTAAAGACTTTCACACACTATTTATAGGCAGGAACATACTTTTTTACTTTTCAGAGCAATTTGTTGCTTCTTCCTATCCAATTTTCCTTTCTTAGAAGAATTAGCTTTTATTTTCACTGATAATATAACCTTTGATATGTGTAAACAGAGACTAATGGCAAGAATAACTGACTGGTGGGTGATTTGCCACATTTGCAAAAGAATCTGAGTTCTGATACTGTTTTATCAGTATCGTAACAGTGCAGCATAGAAAGGTAACACTGACAACATGACTATACTTTTTTATGAAAGATGCAAGTTGAAAGAAACCATTATAAAAACATTGACGCACACTGGCTGGGGATATATGTTCGAAAAAAACAGAGAGAGGTTTCCTTAAGAAGCAGTCAAATCTTGGCAAAATCTGAAAAGTAGCATTCCTTGCTGAAGTCAACACAAGGATTGGGTAACCCTTCTGCTTCACCTGGCTCAGTTTTTTGCCTCACCGAGATCCCTAAACACGAGGTAGCTGACAGCTGACACAGCTTCAAGGATGATCCTAAAAAGCAGGTAATTAACCATTTCTGCTCTAATAGTAAATATATTTCAGCTTTGGGAAGTCCTCAGGAAGAAAATCCCACTTAGCTTGTTAAATTCAACTCCGTGAGTACAGTACAAAAGTTTCTGCTGCAGTCTCTAGGACAACAGCTTTTTCCAGTCTTGAAATAATTAGTTTCTGGGTCAGACTACTACAGTAGCCATGTTCTGGGGTGCACTATCATCATAGCTAATGGAGAAGCAGAATAATACTAATAAGAAATGAAGAAAAAACCTACTTTTGATACTTAGTAAAAAACCACAGTGACAGCCTTCATGGATCCCTCAGCTCTATGTTTCTTTTCCAGTATTGTTTTCAACATGCCTTTTGTCTCAGTAAAAACAGTTAACTAAATGACTTGTAAAATAATAAATCATCCTTTCTGAGTAACAATTTACTGCTCTATGGGAGTATTTCCAATTGCTCCTATCACCATGAGACTGTTACAGTTTCCAAGCAGATGGCAGGTATTTACCGTGAGTGACCTTTTCTTTATCACCTCCAGTAACTCCCCCACAGCAATGACATATGGCACAGAGAGAGATCCCAGGGCCTGTTCTGGATTGTTATTGACAACTGGGAGCTGGGAGACAACCTCTGCTGCAGGCAGAGGTTGAACCAAATTAAGTGACTTCATATAGCTCAGGAAGTAAGGCCTCAATCCCCATCACTGACTTGGATACAGACAGCAGCAAATGTATTGCAGTCTTTCAGCATTGCATTGTTCTAACATTTTTTTTCAAATCTTACATTACGCACAAAGCAAACCCTCAGTTCTAATGAATTACAAAGGACATTCTGAAAATGCAAATACTTAAAATGCTATTTACACACATGAATCTCAAAGTTTTTGATATATACTCATCTTTTGAGCGGCATATCCCAACCACTCAAACAGCAAAATGTTCCAGAAACGTGGACATTGAAGTAACTTTGACATTTTAAAATTCTGATAAACAATAAGTCAAAAATAAGTTTCCAGTTTAGAGCTTGGGAAGATTTTTCAAATTTGCTGTAATGTAGTTGAGTGAGAAAGAAGGAAGGAAGCAGTACTAGGGCTGAGACTGAAGGTCAGTGCAAGTGTCCCAGACACCCATCAGTGTGATCAGCACGCTGGAGCCGATCCTGTGTGCAACAGGTCAGAAATGCAAATGCCATGCAGGCTGTGCCACAAACAAAAAGAACAGTCTGAACACTAGCAAGAGTGGCAGATATTTTTCTAACTTGACCTGATTTTATTGCATTGTAAGAAGGCTGTTGGGCTGGATACAGCGACCCCAAGTTTTGTGTACCTATTCTTTGAAAAAAGAGGTGTATAAGGCCCATTCACAGCTCATTAAAATGAAAAAAGCAATAGAGGCACTGAATTCATAAACCTTCATCTCTCACACTTAGCACTTTAAACACTTAAGTGAGCTGAGATTCTGACTGTACAAAAGCAGGCATTTAAAAATGTGCTACCTTGAGGAAAAATTTTTTTTTTTAAATTATGGTAATGATAAATTAAAACTCCCATCGGTGCTGGAGCTATTTCCTTGTAGAGTGTTTTAGCATGATTCCTCTGTCTAATGAGATAGAAGCTCAATTCACATCTGCCCTGTTTAGGACTCTTTGCAGCAGCTTCTTCATCTTCATGTCTGTATTGCTGTCAATTTTATAAGGTCTGCATTAGTGATCAGCTCATATCAAACAATGTCCTTTTTAATCTTTGCTAATTTAGGCAATCTTTTTCTCTACTCTTGGTGCAGTGTAGAGATCCCGGACACACGCTTTAGGTGCAAGTCACGCCCTTATCTAATTCTTCCAAGTTATAATTAAAAAGAAATAAGTAGAAGAATGAAAGAGGTGAAAGGAGGAGAAGGACAGTAAGAGGTGTAGGTTCTGAATTTGTTGGTAGTGCAATCATAACAAGTCTAGGGCATATACTGCCTACCAGCTGCCAGATGAACAGAGTTTGGTAAAAGCAGGAGTGAGCACTAACACTTGGCTGGACAGGAATCCTGTTCCAGACCTTGCACTGTGCCATCCCCTCTGCCATTTGTTAAACTGATTATATCTGAACAGGACTGGTGACAAAGTATGTCCTGACCTGTCTGATTTCAGCTCTCCACTGAGAATGATAGTTCAGCCCCTGAGGACATGAGGAGTAGAGGTCACGTGTAGCATGTGCTACTTGCAAATCTTGGAGGCACTGGGAAAAATGAGTGCCCATTCTAAGATTTATACTATAAATTGTTGAATACCGATTAAATTCATTCATGAACTCAATCTATGTTCACAGTTAGTTTCTCAGGTGCCTCCATTTCCAGTCAAAATATATGGCTACTTTATGGTTTATTTTTCTGGCAACACTGGTCTTTATGCAACTCTTCTTTCTCCCTCATGTTTCCTGTTTGATGTGGAAAGCAAACACCCTGTTCAGCTCTAGTTTTGCTAAGCCTGACTGAGTTCTCTGGATCTCTTCCCCATTTCTTTATTTTCTGTTTCTTTCCAATCTGAGATCAGTGCTCTAGGATCTGCAGAGACTGCAAACAGCATTCTACATGGGGTCTGACTTTCTGTGTGCCATTAGTATTCCATTGTTTCCTTGTTGGAAATCCTTTGCCCATCACCCTAGAATTACATATGCCTTTCTCATGCATGAATCACACTGCTAGTTCACAGAAATCTTGTGATAGCTCAATCATCCAGGCTCACTGCCTTGATTATTTCCCAATAGATCTCAATCTCACCAGCAGAAGTTCATGTTTTTTATTCCCTAAAAGGCCATGCCCATTTATTTTTTACTAGTAAATTTAATACCCGTTCTAATACTATGTTTTAGTTATTAAGTTCTCCTATTTAATGTCACAGATTAACTTCATTGAGATATTCCCAATCTTTATGCTGGTGCCATTACTGGAAGCATTAAACAGGACTGGACTCCAAATGATCTTGAGGAAACCCACTAACACCAGTCTTTTAGCCTGGTACTTTCTGTGCTTAGCTTTTTGACACTGTTCGGCACCTCCATTTTTAACAATATTTACATGTGTAACCATCTGATTATTTTTTTTCCTTTAAGTCCCATCACCTCCAGATCTCAAGACGTCTATGGAATTCTTATTTGAATTCTGCAGTTGAAACTGATCTTCACAACTACATAACACTGAGTAACTTGATTACCCTGTTGTAAGTTAGAGCTATTACAAACAAGCTCATTTGGAATGCAAACTCACATATAATGTTGACTCAACTGTTTTCTGCCCGTTTCCATAGTTAGAGGCACTCTTTCCAGCCAGATCATTCATACTAACGTAGTAATGAATATTTCATATACTCACAATATATGGTTGGTGCAATTATCTCACTTTCCATTGCACTGACAGGGTTAGATACTAGGCAGCTGTAATTCCCAATGTCTTCTTTTACAACAGGAACAATTAGAAGTGTAGCATTGTTTGATGAAAAGGTATAATTAGGGCCAGCATGGAGACGCTTCCCATTTTTCATCCACTGGTAAGTTACCCTTGTACCTTTACCCAGAGTACATTTTAGGGTAATATTTCCTACATATTCCACTACTCCTGAAGATGGTTCAGTATGTACAGTCGGCTTTGTGACTGGAACTGTAAAATAAAGAGATAAGAGTTGTTAAAGTGAGAAGCCACTATATCACAGTCTTCATTGTCAAGATGATTCAAATAGCAGTCATCATTCTCACTGGAAATTACTCATACTTCAAATTTTATCTATTAAATGTGGTTAAAGGTTAAAAAAGAAAGCCATACTCTCAGCTGGTGACTGCAAGAATTGTTACAGTACTTGAATAAAACCAGACTGTTTAGATTACTGGTAATAAGATAAAGGCTGCAGTGAGGTATACCACAGCCTCCAGCTCTTGCCTCACATACAAATCACTGAGGCCATAGAAATGAAAAGAGCACAAAGCATGACACTGCCCATGATGTATGACTTCTCAGTATGACTGCCCACAGCTTTCCCCACACTGGGTACCACGGGGTGATCCAGTCGTGAGGATGGCTGCCAATTGGCATTGGTTTGTCAGTTAAATGGCAGCTACAACTCTGTCACCTCAAGATGTCATTCATCTCATTCTTCCAAGCCCAACAGTTGGAGGGCTCTCTCTGTGTAATCCATAAATTACAGTAGCCTCTTGTAATTCTCTTAGATAATTCTACCTCTTCAGTTTTTTACTTATGAAACATCAGTCAATATATTAATTTTGTTTAAAGATGACATATTTTATCATTTCCTCCAGTAGCAGTACAAAACAACATAACTTGTTAGAATTTATTAATGTATGGTTGCATTAAACGATACACTATTGTAACTGGATACTAAGAACCAGTACTTCAAAACTACTGCAATTCTATTTTCAAAATGAAGATACCATCTCTTACTAACTTACCATCAACAGCTACTTGAATCTTTTGACTCGCAGCTATTGTCCCATTTCCACGGACATTGACTTTTACAATATAATTGCCCTCATCACTGATATGCAATGGATTGATCATCAAAGAGGCATTCGGTGGTACAAGGGTAAACTTGTGCTGGTATTCCAAATCTGGAACTACTGTTTGATTTACAGAGCCAAGCAAGTATTTTGGATTACTCTGAGGCCTCTCAAAAAGCCAAATTATCTGGATTTCAGAAGCTGTAGCATTGAAATTGTAGTCAACAGTAAGATGAAGTGGTTGTCCCTCAATACCATGGATGGTATGAGATGGTACTGTCAACTTTAAGGCAGAACAAATACCTGCATAAAAATGAAAGAACAAACAAATAAACAAACCCAAATCACAACTGGGAAACCTGGAAAACTTGAATGAGAAATTCTCACCATGAAAAAACTCTCAATGTTAAAACTTACACTTTTTTGTACAGTTATAACTCAGATATCAAGTAAGAAAGAGGCAAACGCTCATTGACCTTGGTGAAGTTGGGTCTAGCTGCAGCTTCAAAATATAAAGAAAACCAAAGGAAGGACCTTTTACTGTTGAAAGTTTGAGAAAAATGAGAAAATGTACATTTACATTAATGTATAAAATATTTTCCCTTTAAAATATTTCAAATTCCTAGGTCTCACACTCTCTAATAGTCTTGGACTGCACACTCAATTTTTAGGAATTTTTTCTAGGTTGGTTCAGCTACAGAGCAACTTCTTAGTTGCTTTGCCATCTATATTGAGAAACTGACTGAAAATGTGACAAGCAGGACTTCCATGAATGTTTGATATAATTATATATAGTTATTATTGATGACAGCTCAGTACCTGCAAGACTAAACTCATGAAACATTACTAAGCCTGCCAAAGTCAAGTATTCTGATCTTAGGAAATTAGCAGAACTGATGTTGATATCCACAAAAGCAAATTTTTCAGCTACATGATTAATTCTGTTCTCCAAGAATTCTGTCTCTGCTATGGTGCAAAAAGGCCACTCCTTGGTTAATCATTGTCTTTCCCATGTATGTTTTTTTTAATCATTTTTCACTGTGCCAGCATGAGACATATTTAGAGAACATTATTAAAGGTTTAGTCTCAGGACTGAGTGACTGATTTTCACATGAACTTTTCCACAGAACTCAAAAGAACAGCAAAAGAAGGCATAGACATTAATGAACTGATTTCACAACACCATTATAATTGATAAGATTTTACAGGTGAAGAATTTAAGCCCAGAGAAAATTAACAGCAAAAATACCCACTTATTTTGGATGATCATTTTGAAATATTAAGGACTGGATTTCCCAAAATACATATAAACGTATTTTAGTACGTTCAAGATGCAATTCCTATTGACTCCAGGTTTAATTGCTCAGCTTTGAGTGCTCAATAATTCCGAAAAGCACACTGCAAGTGCTAAGACAAAACCCTAGGAAAAAAAAGGCAACCTCTCCTAAGTAAGGACGTGTAAAAAAGGGATTTAAGTAATCTGACACTGCATAAGAGCACACTGGAGACTGAGAATGCACTGCCCAGGGCAATATGCAATGTTATCACCATGCACCATCTATCCTCTTTCTGCTACTGATCATCCTTCTTTGGACCAGATGATCCTTGAGGTCCCTTCCAACCTGGGATTCTGTGATTCTTGACAAATACCTGTAACCAAAAAGTAAGTCCCCAGCTGAAGCACATAGAGTACATTTCTACCTGGAAAGTGGTGTGTAGTAGGGGGAGGGTAGAGGGAGCTATGTGTGAAAAATACGTGACTGTGCTATTAACGACTGCTAAAAAAATATGTGTGTAACATTTCTCAGAGGTTAATTCCCTGACAACCCTACTGCACAAATCAGATTTAAATTGCTGTTGTCCAGTTGAAAAAACCAGAGAGTAACTTCTCAGTAGAATCCTTCAGAAAATATGTAATGTTGGAGATCTATTTTATATAACATATCAAGTACATTTCAATTTTTATATCAACTGAAATGAAGTAAAAAACATCTCTCAAACAGAGAGCTGGGAGATCTGTAAATGATCAGTTAAAAGATCTGTCCATATCCTTCCTCATTCTTTACACATGATGCTGCTCAATTTCTGGGTTTATTTAGCTATCAATAAGCGATTGTGCTGTTGGATAAGAAGCCAGTAACAGCTGCAATGTAATCATAAAATATGTAAAACAAATAATATTTCTCACAGATCTGTTTGTGCAGAAAATTAGCAAAACCCAAAAAGGTCTTGCAAGCACCAGGGTAAGTGGGACCACCAGTATGAAAGGTAACACCATACTAGAGCAAGAAGAAGAGAATTTTGGCTGGAAAGCTTACTTTCTCTGCAGTTAAAAACTGTGGGAATAGAAACTGCAAATTAACATTGCTCCACTTGATTCACAGGGAAAATTGGCTCCGTGTAACAGCTTGGAAAGACATTTTGATGTGCAGTTAAGGAAATTCTTTTAGCCAAGGCCAGAGGTGGTGAGGGCGGAAACTCCATTTTTCCCTGGTGTCCCTTCAGGAGTGGCTTGTTGCTCAATCAGGCTCTGCTAGGATGATTTTGTGGACTGCCACCAGTACACACAGGAACTTCTCCACGGCTGGCAGGGCAAGGGACAAGGCAGGCTGAGACTGGGGCAAGTTATTAGAAAATGGTGCTCTGTCAAAGGCAAGGGTTTTACAGGAGCACTGATGGAAGAATTCTGGTTTTTGCAGAGACCATATCTTCTGCAGTCTGGTTATCTTCTCGTTATCTTCTTCACTGAAAGTGTTTTCAGGCATTGGAATGGGCTGCCCAGGGAAGAGGTGGACTCACCACTATCCTTGGGGGTACTTAGAAGACACGTAGATGTTTTGATCAGGGACATGGTTTAATGGTGAAATTGGCAGTGTTAGATGATCTTAAGGGTCTTTTCCAACCTAAATGGTTCTATGATTCTCTTGTATTAGACTAGTCTGGATGTTAAATTTAAACTGAAGACCGTTTTGACTAATCCTTGAATTAATGTTAATAGCAAAATCAAGCCAATGTGCCAAACTAAATTCATATTCATCAGGCACAAATTCCATATAATTATTCCTATCCCTACAGCCTTCCAAATATGATACATATTTTTCCAAGACAATGTGATTTGAGAAACTAGTTTTTGTTTAATGACCATAAGGGTTGTACCAAAATGACCTCCACTTGGAGCTCAGTGATCTGTGCTTTGCTTCCATCTCACTTTGCTATCACCAGTATTAGCAAGCACAACAGAACTGTTGACATAAAACAAGGGCTGCAGTTTTAGTTTAAATAAAAAACTATGACATAACTTTTGAGTTTATGGCATAAACTGAAACCTGCCTAGTGAGGTTTTAGCATTCTCTGAATTTAATATGCACATCTCCTTGTCAAAGTGAGTTTAGACTCTCAACTGCTTTTCACCAGTGTTCATTTAGCTCTTCAGCTCTCCAAACTCCCTGAACTCAGTGTAAAATGTCACTAGATCAGTGATAATAGTTTTTGCCTTTTTTTCACTTTTTGCAAGTATGTTCATTTATGAAAAAAAAAATCCCAGATATAATGGACCAGGGAAGCTGCGATTTCTGTATATCCATTTATATCAGGAAAAACTCGGGCATACTGTTCCCTGGGTTGGGATTTTTGCCCAAGAAAAAGTTCTACTGAGCTTTGTTACTGGACTTAATTTTAGCTTCTGAGGTCAATGTCTTCAGCGGACTTTGCATCATGTCTCCAATGCACCTGGTTCTTGTCATGATATTAAGTATGAGCAGCACATTTCCCTTACTAGAAAATGTATATATCTGAGTAAGGGTATAAGACGAGACTTCCTGGTGAACAAATGTACTCTAAAGTACTCTGTTTGCATGACAATATCTCTAGCAGGGTTTTAATGAAAAACGTCCAATAAAGTTGCAATGTAAATAAAACATACATTCACTGTGTTTTTTGTCAACCAAAGATTTTTCATTTTTAAAGAAGAGATCCAATAATCTTCATCTAAATCTGCAATAGTTATGAAGCAAAAACTCTTGAAAAAGTATTTAGCACAAAATCAAGGAAACTAGATGACTTTAATATAAGGTTCATAAAGAAGAGAAAAATTCTTATTATAGATGAAAGATTAGAGGATGCACTACACCTGTAATATTATATATTTCCTCTGTTGACATTTACAAACCCAATTAAATATAGAAAAAGTTAATTACAGTAGTTTGTAGAAATAAGTTTCTCTGACATTTGACAGGATATTCTTGTCAAAGCGCATAGAACATCTGTTTTTTATCCACTGCATGGATAACAAATTCACACTTATGAAAACTCCACCCAGATACCAAACAAATGCACTATTACTGGGGAGACATTCTTCATTTGACTAAAAGATTAATTGTGTTTTAGGTACATTTAAGTATTACATATAAATTAATCATAATGAAATGAAAAATAATGTATCAGCACTGTCTCAACAAATTTTTAAAGTGGTATGTTTAACAGCTTCTGTATAAACTTTGGTTTAGAACCTCTCCAGCCTTACTTTTTAAAAAGAATGCACAACGTATATAGTACTCAATAAATGTGACTATATATATTTAATCAATGTCCACATTTTACATATAGATTATGTATAGCACTCATTTTTGTCAGGTGCTAAAACTTTAGCTCCACTCATAAAACAGGGTGCCAGTATCTGATTTAAATGATTAAAAGCTTTTAGGCTACTTTCCTGAAATTAAACATCTGAGAACACAACAGGAATATCTTTAAATTTATAAACATAAATCTTATAAAATCAATTTCCATTTCCACAAGGACAATCAAATATAATTTATACTGTATCTTACCTACAAGTAGAAAATATATTCTGCACTCTAAGTCCCAAAAGAAGTTGGCTAAGGGGCTCCATGAAAGCATCCTGTCCCACACAAATGCCACCTTCTCCTCAGCACTAATCCAGGGCTTGGACCTGCAGCTGGTTTATTTGCTAGGGAAATCAGCAATGAGTTAACAGGCCCTATCCTGTCCCCTGCCTTATGTGATTTGAATATGTGTATACAAAGAACAAAGGGAGTGGAGCACCTGTTAGATGAGCACCCATCTTCATTGCCTTCCCCGGCAGCCACAGCAAATATGACACAATGTAATAAATGAGGCACACAATACAAAGTACATTTAATTAATAGAAGTAAGTAAACGCACCAAGTGTACAGGTTATACAGTTATTAACTTCCCTTAGTTATAGTTCCATAAAAAATACCCTGATGCTACATGCTTCTGCTTATTTCAAACTAGAATTAGTACTCAGAATACTTTTTTTCAGATCTTTGCCAATGACAGCCTCTCCTCTTCTGTTACAAAAACCAGTAAACAGCTATTAAAGAGCCTCACCTAATTTTTTTCCTAGCACTTTTCAAGCCCATAAATTTTCCGTACTTTTTTCCCCTAACATAAGCATAACTCAGCAAAGCGTTTACTCCCTTTCTCTAAACAACACATGATGTCAAGTGTCTATCAGGTATCTTCGAAATAAGAATCCTATGGCTAGAGTGGACAGCTTACTACAGTTGTTGAGCTAGCTGCTGATTATTGTTTGTTCTGCATTAATTTACATCAATAAATTAATATTAATGTAGGATTTGGATTTTGTCCAAAGCTGTCACTCACCATACAAATCAGCAGCAAATCAGGCAAACCCTCCCACACTTGTGCAGTAACAGTTTGCAGCAGCAAATATTTGCAGCAACAGAGACGGTTTATCCATACAAAAACACATTATATTTTTCACTATACAGAACTTAGGCAGGCAATTATGGATTAACAAATATTAGGCTAGACTGTATCCTGCTTTGTGCATGAGGGACTAGTAGCAAGGAAATGCCTCCTCTCATCGTGTGCTAGGAGCAGGGGTACAGCAAGGTTCTAAGCCCCCAGCAGAAGGGCCAAACATTCAATTTTTACCGTAGTTAAAGGGAGGTGAAAACACCCAGATCTTTCCAGGTCCAATGGAAGACATATAAGGGTTATGTCAGGTAAACAAAAACAGAAATACAGTGGTCCCAGCAGAAATAATATCACCATCTGACATTAGCCGGGAGATGAAGAGGGTATTTCACATATTCCCAAAGGCTTCCTGGGTCCATTGTCCTGCCCCTTCTGAATGTTGTTGTTTACAACCTGCTTAATCCACTTAACTGTAGGCTAGATATATCAAATCACAACCTTTTATAAAACCCGAGTTAGAAATTACTATCTACTATTTCAACATGTATTAAAATATCACAGGTTCCAATTAATTTCTAACTGAAATGGGAGCTTTCACATTAGCATAGAGCCTGTGTTGGTGCTTTAAACACCCGATATGGGCAAAGACATTAAAAAAAAACCCAAACAGATTAGCAGTTATGTTTTTCAAGTGTGTCCCCTCATTTCCAGCATTCGAATAATTCTTGATGTCACTAATATGCTGCAAGTTTTACACTGAATAACACACAAATGTAGTGCATGCTAAAACTGCATGTTATTTTTTCTACAGAATTCTAGGTTGGGCTAGTCGTTAAATGGCATTTAGACTTTACGAAAATCAAACCTCCCTCTTTTGAATAAAAGCAACTACATTAGAGCAACATTATTTGCTGTACTAGCATTTTGAACATTTGTGTTTCTGCAAATTTTAGTTATTTTATTACTAAGAAGTAACTTCATTATGTGCTAAACTTGTTAGAGGTTTCCACAGAAACAATTACACAATATGCCTAATGGTAGCCAGAAGTAATGAATTCCTGCTAAAGAAAGCAGTGAGGGGACCATCGGTCCTGACCCTCCTTTTGACACTACCTGGTTTCAGACGCCTGCTCTTACCTGACCTACCCTGCAAAAACACACTGCTCAGATGGGGGATAACCAACAACAGGATCCAGAAACACGTGCTCGGCTGACTTACGTGCACACTCAATAAACTCCAGAAGGAAAGACCACCTTTTCTGGAAGTAATACTGTGCTATAGGGAATGTGTTAGTAGTTTTACTGTTGGATGTTAAGCAAAGGTTGTCAGATAAATGCTTCCTTTTCTTGCATTGATATAAAGTAGATTTAAGAAGCTATCTGCTTTTTGTTTGTTTGTTTGCTTGCTTGTAGCTGATATCTATACAACCAAACAGAGATACAAGCCTGTTTTGGCGACGCAAAACCCCATCACCCGTGACCAGGCCAGACGCACTTGGGCATAACCTGAAATAACCCGCGGCAACCGGGAAATGCTCATTGTCTACGTGGACTTTCTAGTTCCTCTCCGCAGACAAAGCCTAGTTTTGTCTTCTCAAGTAACTGCTTTCAAAGACTACACAAGCGAACGTCAAGGTCCAAACACTCCACCAGCACACCCCAAACCCCAGCCACCCCCACGCCCCACCGGCAGGAGGCGGCCCAGCGATGCCGGCGCCCAGCAGCCGATCCGCAACGGAAGAGGCCTCCCACGCCCGAACCCTTCCCGGAGCCCTCCCGCCTTCGCGGCCGCGCTGCCGGGGGTTGTAGTCGGGCGCCGCCGCCGCAGAACTACCGGTCCCAGGGAGCCGCGGGCGGGCGCGGTCAGGTGGCGCCCAACATGGCTGCGCCGTGCCCCGGCGCCGCGCGGGGCCGCTGAGCGCTGTCGGGGGGGCGGCGGGGCCATCATGCAGAAGATCAAGTCGCTGATGACCCGCCAGGTGAGCGGTTCTTCTAAGGGGGGTTTCTCCGCGGGAGTCCCGGGCTCTCCGAGGGCCGCCGTGCCCGGGGCCCCTGGAGGGCCAGCGAGGCGCCGGCATCGCCCTCTGCCCGGCTGCCCGGGGAAGGAGGGCGCGGGGCGTGTGAGGTCTCTCTCGGGGCACAGACATCCACCTTGTTTTTCTCTTTACACCGAGAAATGGAAGCGTGCGCAGGTGCCAGCGCGTAGCTGTGTCACACCAGACTAATCGGTGTTGGAGATGACAGGGCCGGCCTGTGTCAGATTCCCTTGTTGACATGTAATTTTGTAGCGCTGGGCTGTGTTTCGGTAGCGTGGCTTTGTCTGACAGCAAACGCTTTCGGTCCGAAGGTAGGCGAGGCTGTGGAGGTGCCGGGGACGTATTTGGGTGGGCACATATTGAATGTGTGCCAGAGCACTCGGTGTGTGTCTGTCACTGCATTGCTGTGTTCCAGTTGTACCAGTGGTCTTTAGGATTATATAGATCTAAGCCTACATTTGGACCGGTATTTCTAAGGTTGAGAGCCTTTTTAAAGAAGTGTATCAGCAGAACATTTGATAATTCATGTATATGAGATACATCTGAAATGAAGCCTGTTTGTCCATGTGTCTAGACTGGAGAACTTGTGTAACCTATCACATCAAATATTCTAGATAGTTACAGAAAATGATGAGAAAGTCAGAAACTTTTCTTTTTTAAACTATGTCCTCAGAGTCATAATGCTTATGCAGGAGGCAGGGCTTAAAAATGAATACTGGCACAGAAATGGAATTTGCAAAATAATCTTCTGTTTCCCTTCAGTATAGGGGTACTTGATGAGTTTACAGCTTGACTAAGAAAAATAGTGGGAAGTCTGCCCAGTGTGGAGATGTGGTCTGAAAATAATGTGGCTTGAACAATTTTCAGTCCTTGGAAAGGATAAAGTTCCATTTAGCATTTGATAAGTGAAACTTTTCATTGCTTCTGGAGATAAGCTGCTAGTACTGCTGATTTTTGAGAGGATATGTGAAGGATTTTGTGTGAAGTACAAGAAGCTGCAGCAGTTGCTTTGTTTATTCCTTACCTTGAATTTCTGATGCATAGAGGTGAGTCGTCTTTGATGGTGGTAACTGGAAAGGGAGCATGTTTTGAAATGATGCACAATGAAATCTGAGAATCAAAACCAAAATGAAGAGGTTTTGCATTTTGGGAAGATGAGGCAATTGTAAAATATAGTAGTTACAAAGTGATGTACAACACTTTAGCATTGTCCTTTTCAAAGGACAAATACAAAACTTTTCTCATTGTAAACTCATATAGTAATTTTGCAGAGGTCCTTTTGTTTCAAAGAAATATAGATACCTAGAACCTGAAAGGGGCTTGCAAAAAAAACTGTTGGCATCAACTGCAGGAGTACTTAAGGTTTTTGGACACACATTCATTTTAAAATTTAAAGTAATGTCTGGAAGTTGAGAGGAGGATGTAACTGAACTTTATTGAAGAGAACGTTAGTAAACTGCATTGAAAAGGTGCATAGTGCAGCATAAAGTTGGAAATGCTTAGATGTTTGAGGAGCATAATTTATAGACCAATGGTCTTGCTTAAATGTTTCTAGAATGAGGTCTTAGCCTTCCAGCCACATCAGAGTATTTGTCAAAGGACCTACAGGTATCTGTTCAACATCAGGTAAGACTTGTGCAGTTTGATTGCAAGATATGTAAAGTAATCAATCATAACTGATTATGAAAATTCTCTTAAAGGGTCTAAGAAGTCCTCAGGAGAGTGTTAATGACCTCAGCCCTGTTGAAAGCTTTCGGATTCCTACTAAGGTATGATACAACATCCCTCCACTCCCATGTCCTTAGTTTTTATTTTTTCATTTTATAGTTTGATGACACTTAGTTGTGTCTTTTTTTTATTAAACACAAGGTTTGCTGTTGTTCTTTTTGAGAGTTTTGTTTCTTGCTGAAAATATTTTATTTTATGAAAGAACTAAGAGCTGTGAGACAAACCTGTTCACCAACTCTGAATGAACTTGCATGAAAATTTCTTTCTTGAAACTTTTGAGTTTTCACTGGATGCTGATCTTAATATTATCTAGGTTTCTTGCTGGAGTGAATTAAAAAAAAAGGAGAAAGGAAAATGCCTTTTTTAATATTTACTTTGGAAAGTAGATACTGTATGGTAGCCTGTATAGTTCTGGTCTTGATATTTAGCCTCTTCATGGTTTTGGTGCTGTAAGTATATTTTGTAGTGTCATGGTTTTGATCTTCAGCATATATAGTTAACCTCATGTTCTATTTTAAAAGTTGTATCTTTATAATAATAATAGCTTTTGGCATTTTGTGAGTCTCAATACTTAACTAATGGCAGCTCACTCTCATCTCACAAGTCATACTGAATAACTTGTGTGTCAGGGAACAATTACCACAATATTTGACCGTTCCTTATACCCTTTTGATCTGAGTGGATGATTCACAAGACTTCTGTGGATTTATTCTATTATTCTCCCCTAATCTGGGCTTTGCCTTTAACCAGTAAGATTTAAGTCACTGACTCGAATTTGGATGGCCATTTTACAATAAAAAAACAACCCAAAAGACTGCTTGTGTTTCTTTGCCTCTATATAAATACTGTGTAATATGGTGCTAATGCTGAGGCCAACCAGAAAATCAGCATTACGGTATATTTAAAAAATCAAGTAAGAATCTCTGAATTGGTGCGTGACACTATTAAACAGTGGCCAATATATTGATATCAAAGAGCAAAAGTATTCAGTTGCAGCGATGTTGAAAGAGCTGTCTCATCTCCATGGCTTAGATTTCAGAATTGCAGATTCTTGCCACACACACACACACACTGAGCATCCAGTTTCAAACTGTGTTTTTAACAAAGTTGACTCTTCATGTAAAAGTAGATGAAGGGTATCTTGGCTAGATTTCTGTTCTGTAACAGTTTGATGTTACGTGTCTGGTAAATCTAAGCTGTGTATCAACCAAATCAAATACTTCTCAATAATTTGTATTTTTTTAACACATTTATGTCAAACATAAGCAATGTGAAAAAATTATCTGCATCTGTCCTGCAAACAGAAATCTGGGCCTGAAAAACCTAGATTGCATCAACATTGGAACTTTTAATCTGATTACTTTTTTTTTTTAGTTGATAGAATTAAAGTGTTATTCTCTCCTGTGCCACAGAATAAAGCTTTTATATTTTTCAATCTTTTAATATTTAGGGTAGATTTAGATTAGATGTTAGGAAGAAATTCTTTATTGTGAGGGTGGTGAGGCACTGGAACAGGTTGCCTAGAGAAGTTGTGGATGCCCCAACCGTGGTGGTGTTTAAGGTCAGGTCGGATGAGGCCCTGAGCAACCTGACCTAGTGAAAGGTGTTAGGGGAGTTATAACTAGATGATCTCTATGGTTCCTTCCAACGCAAACCACTTTGTAATTCTATAATTGTGGTTTTTTCCTTCAAAAATGTTTTAAGTGACTAGTTCTCAAAATAACAACTATATTCAGAATATACATTCTATATTTGGAATATATTCAGAGTTGCTTTTACCTCCTCAAAAAGCTGTATTGAATGAAACTCTTATAAATTTGAGTGGTTATTTGATTATCTGTATGATGCTCTTAGTCATGTGGTTTATATTCAGGTAGTACTACGAGGAGCTGGGAATTGGACTTGATGATTCTTATGCATCCCTTCCAACTTGAGCCTTTCTATGATTCTAAGAGTATGATGAATAAAACTACTGTGTTTTGATCAGTTTAACTTCTGGCTAGGGTCCCAAGCCATTTGTCACAGTAACTTTACTTCCAGCCCATTTCTTTAAGAGGAATGATTTACATTGTCATGCCTCCTCAGCTTTGTTAAAGCCTTTATTGTAGGATTTTACTTTTCAGGTGATGAGACATCAGATGAGGCGCAGTAATATGTTTCTTGTCACTGGGAGCATAGATTCAGATATGCTGAAAACAGGAATTTTGAGGGCTGGGGAGAGGGAGATGTTGCCTCTGTTTCTGGTATGAGTAACTGCCAAGGAGGTTAGGTTTCAGTACTGCACAGAAATTGAAAGTCATCGAGCTTTTGGATATTGGTATTTATTTTGATCTAAAGCTGTATTCAGTGCCCTGGCAATGTACTGATGTCACAAAACAGAATTGCATTATAATTATAGGATCAAGCAGCTTTGCCGGATATAATCTAATGCCTCTCAATAATTATTGTATTTTAATGGACAGGTTTGGTAAAGAGAATTCACTTTTGAATGCAAAAGTAAAGACTTAGGAAAAGGTGCAGATTTTTAAAGGCAATGAGTAAAAGCATAACTTTGTACTGTTTCAAGCTGCTACTTGAACACAAATGTTGTTCTTTGCTGCCCTGTTTTTATAACTGTTTTTGTTTATATCTTGAATCATGAAAGTCTCAAGATGTTTGATGACAGAATGGTTATGATGCTGCACTTTCATCATCACACTTCCACATTCGGTTTCATATCTCCAGATTTATTTAGGGCAAGTGTTACTGAAAGCTTCAAAAAACTGTGTTAAAGCTATGGAGGGGTATACAGAGTGAAAGGCTGCAGGGCCAGCATGAATTACTGGAAAAAGCAGAAGCCATTGATAGATCATGTTGACTCTGGGAACAAACCCATGTTTTTGAGATGAGGGACTGTCA